TCCTTTATTTCACTCCGTGGTATTCAAAGTAAGACTGGCAAACTCGTTTCTGGACGTTTTTAATAGTTGTTTACTTTTGACTACGAGCTTCTTTGAGTTAAGCTTCTGGGTTTTGTTAGCTCTTCTAAAAGGTGTGGAAGCTGATGGAACTGATTCGTTCTTTTGAAAGTCCTTGCATCATATTTATGACAGATAATAAGGCACAATTTCTTTTTTCGTCCACCCATTGTGGAATTGTGCATTTCCGTCAGTTTTCAGCTGTGTTTGTCATTTCCACGATACAGGTATCGTTTGAAAACCATTTATTGTTTCTAACTTCCATTATTCACTTAAAAATTTTACAATAGACAATGAGTGGTGGAAATGTAAAAGCGGAGCAATCTGACGGACTAAACCATCTTATTTGCTCAGGGAGGTCAGGCTATTCTGGCATACGGAATATGGGGAGTTATTCATCACTCCCACACCTCTTAACCTGTTCTAGGGGTGCCCTTTTGATCACACATTCGGGTATTCTTTTCGGTATTATTAATTAGGCAAACTTGCGTATGTGCAAATGATGTGATCGGATTGTTTTCATTCACACTTGCTCACAAAACCTTTTTTACGTGTCAGGGAAGGGGCATGGATACGTGGTAGAGGAATTACATCACACATCAACCTCCAACTCTTAGAGTAAATTACACTTATAATAGAAACGCTGAATTTTCGAGAAAGTTATTTGCACAACCAGCTGTTGGTTTTTTTTTTCAAAAATAAGTGTTCGCAGCCGACTTGCCCGCCCCCCATACTGCAGGTGGACTCCAACACCTCGCGAATTAACGGTGGTAGTAATAGTGACGGTACCTACATGCGCAAACCCCAGGATTCTCCGCTGCCACCACAGTCGCAGCCGCAGGCGTTGAGTGGGTCCTTTCGGAAGGAGGTCAGCCAGGAGCGCACTGGCTCCGCAAGCTGTCTTCCGATCGCTCGGTCTGGTGATGGGGACACTGATGAGGTCCAGCATTTGCAAGACGTCGGATTTATTGTGTCCACAAAGCGTCCCAGTTCATGGAGAACCTCGGATTCGGGTGGGTATTGGTGCATACCATTGCGAATGCCTCCACTACACTAGGAATTGAAATTGGGTACCTATTTCACAGCCGAGTAGAACGACTTTTATGTATTAGTTGGCCTTTGTTTGCGTACGACTTTATACTTTTTAAAAAGTTCTATGCACTCTATTTCATTATTGGAACCAGGTGTTTGAGATCTTCCTGCATGTCATCTGAATTTGCCTTTTGCAAAGATTTTGTGCATTTCCAATCGCAAAATTACAAGCAAACGCAATTCTTTGGATAAAGTATTTCGATATATAAGTCTTACTGATCAATTCTGATCGATTTAGCTGCCAATCGGTTGGATCATTTCGTAGTTTGCTCACAGGATGTCGGATCGTAAAATGCAGTAGCAAATTGAATAACAACACTTCATAAACAGCTATTTTAAAAATAACCGTGCATCTTTTACGGTAAGTTTCGGCGTCGCATTTGTGTTTGTCACCATAGTAGTTATAAAGTGTGTATCGTGATGCAGTGCTTCATGGCGTAAACTGACTTAATTATCCATTCTGAAGGAAATTTTCTACTTTCTTCGTTAGGCACATGTTCTGTGTCGGTATAACGCATGTGAATAAATCCTGTGCTTAGAGGAACGCTGAATTTTGATTTCTTTGCATTGATCCCCTGGTGCCTTCAGTGCGCTTCCGTTGCCGTTGCCGTTGCCTATGGATTGCAGTCCAGTGTCGGGACTAAACGCCACTTAGTCTCTTCTTGTTACTCAACTTGTTAGCTCTTTGAGGATTAGCGCCACGCCACACTAATTAACGCGCCCCACCCGCGTTGACCGCGAGGGTGTGACAATGGCAAGTGACTTTTATCCACTTGCCATTTGAATTACGCTACTGATTCCAATGAAGACAAATTCACTTCTATGCCTACCACACTGGGGTTTCAAGGCCTAATACCCCTTCACTCTACAAGAATCTACTCTACCGTGCTTCCTTTCCATCCCGATTTAGCCTATTAAATAGACAATATTTTTTATCGGCATCTGGACGAGAGCACCATGATTGAAACCATATTGATTGGGCGATTAAACAGTTGTTTTGTTACTTTCCAGAAAATAATGAAGTACGTGACGTTTATTACTTTAGTTTCTCCTTGTACCTGCACTTTTCTTTCTTTTCGACGCACTAAATTTAAGCAGTAAACATGAATATAGCATTATTCAACCGATTTTAGGGTTTCAAACTTCTCATTTACCTTAATGAGCTTACATTCAAGTGTTTATGGGGATTTAGCATAAATAAATTAACAAACTTAATTCCTTCCCGTTTCTGCCGTTGTTCATAACCTTTTTATTTCTTGTATTATTATCCTTGAGTACTTTTACCACTGCCTGTGCTACTTCGCCCTTGTTCAGTTCTCCCAAAAGTCATCATAAAGACCTGCCACCAACCCACGTGGGATAACATGAACCCACCTGTGCCGAGTTTCAAGGCGACGTGATGAAAACCCTATTTCATTTGCCGTGTGAGGCCGTTCTGCCCATCAAAATGTTTTATTACTCATTCGCAAAATTTTATCTGATAATTGTTTAATGCTCACAATTGACTTGCGACTTGTACATGACGTTTAGGTTGCTCATCGCAAGGCCAAGATATAGAATGTTTGTGAGCACTTCTTTTATTCACTGTTCCCAGTTAATCTCACCTAAGAAACTGTTCAACTTCATTCCATTTAACATTAGTCAATCCATCTACCCTTCTCTTCCGCCTTCTACTGGCATATTAGTTTATTTGACCAATTTCGGTAAGTCTAAGATATCAACCTAATCAGCTTGAATGTGTGACAGTGGACTTCCAAATTTCACGCAATTACCTGCTCCCTGTCTCAGCTCTCCTTATACTGCCATGGCAACACGCCTGTAGACTCATGCCAGTGTCTCGTTCCTACAAATAATAAAAAGGTTATTTTTATACCAATTAACGTACTTGTTTGAAAGTTTGTCCAAAAAACCTCAGCAAAACCAGCAAATGTTGAGTTGAGGTGATACTAGTTTATTCACGCTTTCTCAGAAAAGGTTTTTTTGTGCTCACAGCTGCTATTTGTACTGTTTTTAGCTACGCGTGGGATTGCTGCTAGAACACCTATCGTCTTAATACTGTATGCATTATTAGAGGACTGAAACTCCTAATACTGATTTTAAATTAGATGATCTATAAGACCAAAATTTAGTTTTAAAACGGTCATGCGGTCTCGCGGGCAGGGCGTTGATGAGGTGGCTACCCAGCTGTGTGTTCCCCCTCTTAACTCAGGATGGCGGCCTACGGACGAGGGGACGGCGGCGGCGACGGGGGAGCAGAGGAAGGAAGAGAGAAGGCAATTTCGTGCCCGACTAGCTACCTACGATCCAGCACCGGCGGGGTCATCACAGCTCAGAACTCCCCTCCATCTGCTGCAGGGGTCTCGACGGACGGAGTGCGTTGTAAAGGCCTACGAGGAGATAGCGCAGAGGCTGGCGGAGAAACGTCGCGCCGCAAATCGATCTGAGCGACTGATCGACATGACTCTTCAGGAGGTTGGTTAAAAGCCTTACTATCCTTGTAGAATGTTAACCACTTCTTGTTATGAACTGTTGCTTATGCGCGTGGGCTTGGACTCTGCTAAGTTTCCAGCCCGGGTGGTCAGTAGACAAAGGCCTCAATGCACGTGTCTGCCTACGGGTACGAGTAAGCAAGGAGGCACGACGTGCGCAACGACTGGCTGACTAGCGGAAGTGCCGAAAACGGGTCGGAATCCAGTCTTGCGTGTTTCTAATCCTTGATCGACTTTGGCCCTACAGTTATTATTAGCACGCTTAAAGTAGGAAGCGAGGTCGCGACCTTCTGGAATGTTGGGGAACTGGTCACGGAAATGGGAACCTCGGAAAAATCGAAGCAGAGATGTTTCCCGGAGTTGCAAGCATCCCTAGCACTTCTACTAGGTGTATCTTCCGCAAGTAAATTTAATCACAATTTCTTCCATTGTTTAAAATTTAGTGGAAGCTTTGGATATCGGGTTCTTTTCTTCCTTGTTCATCATCTCCATTCTTTACAAAAGTGTCGTTGAAATGGGAGTTATGAAGAACCTCCTAGCCTATTTGACTTCAGTTTTTCTAGTTTGCAAAAAATTGTTCTAATTTGGTGTTTTTTGCTACAAGACTCATTTTTGCCTCATCAATATATAGAATGTGTTTGCTTTATAGGCATTTTCTTGCTCGATTCTGACTACGACTGCGGTTTAAAAGGCTGACGCATAATTAATCTTTGTGCATACATCCTCGATTTGAGTCCGTTATTGTCAGCTTCAAGTTAGTCCGCACACCTTGCGCAGGGGAGTCAGCTTATTATAGAGCATTCAAGACGGGAGCGTTGTGCACTCTTTTCAGCCGCTTTAATGAAGCACCGCCAGCATGTGCTGATGCCGCCACTCCACATCACTCGACGCCTTTATTGGCACTCAGGCGAACGCTTTAACGTCTCGTATTTTTATCGTTTCGAGAAACATTGTGGGATTTCTTTGACCAGAGTCGAGTGTGACACACAAAGTTTGCTCGATCTTTGATCATAGAGTAATCCGTTATGTTTGGTAGGAATTTGGTTTTTTTTCAGCGTAAATTTTGTGCCACAAATTAAGGCAGATTCATTTAATCATGCGAGTGGGATGCATCGTGTATTTAAGGACGTTTGTTTCAACCATAGCTGGAAACGGAGAAGTTGGTAATTCAGCGCGCATTGCTAGCCTTCGAGACAACATACGGACGGCCTCGTGAACGCAACGACCGTGTGGTGATGCGTCCGGTGTATGACCGCTACCGCTGCGTAAAGCGACTGCTGGCGGGCGCCGCGAGCCACCACTGCAGCAGTCCCAACACGCCGGCACGCATTTTCGCACCCCCCGACATGCTGGACTCCGCTACCGGTGCCACCGACACAGCTGCTCCACTGGCTACGCCGCACTCTCTGTACTCTGAGCACGTCTCCTCGCTGGCGCTACTCGCAGAGCCACCACATGCAAGCACAGGCGATCCGGTGACCCTGGCACACCGATGCCCCTCCATTGACACCTCCGACTACCCCCAACTCCACAACTCCGCCGCCTCCAGCCGCTGTACTAGTCTCGTGACCTCAGCCAACTCGAAGGCGCCCGATGAGTGGTGTAGGTGATACAGGCACTATTCTACTTGCACCCACCAGCACTCCCTCAATTTCCCCATTCGATTATGATTGTGTTTGGGATATTGCAAACCTGATTTACGTAGAAGTTCCCTTAATGTTGATTTAGCGGTGCCTCTGAGTCAGCATTTCAAATAGTACTTCGTTTTTCGCATCTGAAGCTTCTTCCATTCTGATGTGAAAAGTTGCTTAATTAATTGCCACACCACCCAGTGTTCTTTACTGAATAGTCGCCTGGGCATTTCATGTTATGTAGCCGCTTCGATTGGTTGATTCGATGTATTATTGCATTTCTCTACTTTCCACGGCCTTTTGTACTTTTACTTTGTGTACCCTTCGCGCAAGTTGAGTCGATACTTGTATAGAATTGGTAAAAATACTGGTGTTTAAATAAGGCTTGACCACACAACAAGAACCATGATTTGCCGAGAGATGTCGGATTTTTTACAGTTGCACTGACGTTTTTCCTATGAAAAACGCAATGGGATAGATCTAGAGACCAAAGCATCAAGTGGTTTTTACTTATCTATTTGTGGCTATTTGACGTCTACCAGTGCAAAATCATATCATCACCTGAATTGCAACTAATTATAAAATCCTCTTTACACTTTATTATCTATCATCACGCTGCATTAATTCCTGGCACGTGAAGTTGCGCAATTCACGCAATTTTTAACCAGCTAAACGGTGGGTTTATGGGTTGATTGTGTTTGGGACTACGGCTACTTGCCCCAGGCAAATTTTTGTCCTATTATTCGACCGTTTTTGGGAAACAAATGGGTGCTGCCATAGTGCCTGTTTTTCGTGATGTTTCATTCCTTGCAGTTCCCCGTTCCCAAATGCCTCCAGCTATGTGGTTCACCTGCCTACATCGTGGGTGATTAACAGTTATGGTCGGGTTCACCATACAAATACCACCTTTTGTTAGCCTGTTTCGTTCTCTTTGCTGGCAGAGAAAATACGTAATACGTACTGGTTTATTGATGATATGCCCGTTTCAGTTAATGCGAATTCGTTTGGTTCCTGTGACACCATTAATCGCTCAAATTGATGGTATTTCCTGGTAGCACCTAGGCGTTGGTAGGTAATTGTCGAAATGACCTCACATTCTGTTACTGTGACCATTCACAACAAAATGCTCCTTGTGTTTCCGGGCAAGCTGTTAGCGAAGTTAGTTCTTTGCTGTTGACGTTTTTTATAGTAATATCGTGAATTAAAATAGGGCAGGTGAAATATCGCTTGAGCATAAAGTTCACGACTGTGCAGTAAAATTGACTACAATACTTGTCATGGCTTTGATGGTTCTTTGTGATAAATAGGTCTCGAGGCGTCTTCCCTTTTGACACGATTCTATGCCGACTCCACTACACGAGAGTTGTCACTCTATATCGGTGTGTGGCCGTCTTCTTTTGCTTTTTACATCACTTAGGATTAAAAAGGATAGTCTAAATTTTACTTGGCATTATTTATTGGTAACTTATAAATCGTATGAGTGAATAAGACCTCGATTACTGTGCTTGGGGATGTCATTTTCAGTTGGCTCACTCGGTGTCTCAACGCGACCATCTGGGCAGCGGGTGCGATCGCCACGCCGCTACCCGGAGGTGGAGCTGGTGGACGAGAGAGAATACAACACGGGTATCGTGATGCGACAAAGCAAAGAGGTGGTAAGATTGGGAGGGAGAGCACAGGAGAGTGAGGAGGAGGGTGAGGAGCAGACGGTGGGCAGACGGACCCCCATCAGTCGGAGCCCTTTGCTGTCTCCATCATCGTCACCGTCACCACCGGCCTATCAGCACCCACGACGACGGCAGCAGCACCGCCAGCATGCAGACGCTCCCACCTCAGCGGCTTTGACACAGGCGCAGTGGTCCATCGTCGGTCATGAGGGCGCTCACAGCCAACTGCTTTCACAGCCTCCTCGCCAGCTCACCCTCTTCCCCACCACCTTCTTCTCCCACCGACGCCACAGCCAACACCAGATCAGGCTCCTGGTGGGAGACGATCCCGAGTCGGGAAAGCCATTGTATGTTCATGAATACGAAATTACTTGAACCCAAGCTCCCGTGCAACATTTTATCACCTGAGAATGGGCTAGCACTTTTTGAATGGCCAACCCTGTATAATTATTTGCTATAGCGACCTCTTCAGGTGTATCTGCTAAGTATTTCGCTTAGATTTGTCTTGAATTAGTTCTTCATGAAATAAGTAGACCTCAGAAAGGATCCTTTTATGAATTCATCAAGTGATCCTCATGATTGTGTACCCAGTGCTCTTTTGTATGAATGCATTTTAAGTCTCCTTTCCTATTGCACAATCATGGATAAGTCATGCTATTTTATACGGATTCCCTGATAATTTATTGCCTGCCTGTAATTCTCATCTTTTCTACGTACCACATTTATTCCGTCACCTGATCCTCCTGCCAGCATAAACCATAATGGGAAATGCGTTTTAAGTAGTGACTTTCGTGGTAATTGTTTTTCAACTTTGGGAATCTATTTTTCTGCGAAGGTTTTTTAACGCATAACGGAAGCAAGTGATTAGTTGATTTGAGGAATCGCTTGAGTTTTCTTGCTTTACGTCCGTTTAATCATCCTTTCATATTAGTAATAGCCTTGTAGACATTATCGTACGTGCAGATAAAGAAATCAGCTGAATTTTCCGGCTTTAATTCGGCTTTTGAGGCGTTAGTCACGGAAAGCGAACAAGTCTTTTGTCAATTTTCTTTGTTCCCCATGTTTGAATTCCCCTCTGTATGCTTTAACACTGCGTTTTTATTTCAGAGACCAGGCTATTGCCGACTGTGTCGCGAAGTACGCAACATTCACCTTATCTGAGCTGCAAATAGAGCTTACTTCCGTCAAGGATTCGAAAAAGACGCTGCAGAAATTCCTCAAGGAATTCGAACATGATTTTGAAAGGAAGCATGGTAAGTTGATGCAAGATGCTATATTTGCCACCATATTGAGATTTTGTTTCTTTTTAAAGCAGATTTGCCTCAGAATTCTACCTCAAACTAGCGACTAACATGCGACGTTTGCTGTTAACCATTCTATCAAAAGTTGAGAAGTTACTGCGCTTTTTACCTTTCTATGCATTTTCCATTGATAAAAGCATACGCTGTTTCATAATCTAGGGCGAAAGGTGGAAATGGAGGATCGGCAGCCGTTGAATCCTGAATACTTGCACTACAAAATGCTGAAAGCCCGACTTACTAGTCTAGAGCGACTCTTGGAGGCTCGATCAACCAAAGTGTAGATTGCTTGCCTCCTATCATCCGTACCTGGCCGACGCCCCTCCTGCTGTAAAGGTGACTGTACAGTTACGGCTCCTCTACATTTACCAATTGCATTGCCTTCGGAGTAGAACTTTAGGAATACATCTTCATTTGAACTGCATTTCCTTCTCTTTTCCCCTCATTCCCAAGGAGGAAGGAATTATATAGATTTCCAAATGAATGCGATTTCTAGAGCACTTGGTCTTCCCTGGAGGACCACTAATTTTTTTGAGCATTCTAGTAAATAGTCCTCTTCATGTCGACTTTAATTACTCTTACTCTTTTGATTTGAGCGTGACAATAATCTCTTCGTCCCCTTCCAGAATGTAGCCATAAGGCTTGATTTTATCCATTTATAAGCACGCCCACATATCTCGGCTGTACACATCTCAATATAGATGTTCCTGATCAATTTGTATTTTCACAATTGGTTTTAACTGTTTTTCGATGGGTACAATAAGGTGTTCATCCACTGGGTCTACAGTGAGGGACGGTGGTGTTGACACTTCCCAATTAGGGTCGTCTCGGTTGACATTTCAAAAAAGTGGTAATTAAGCTCAAGAGACAGGATACAAACAGGTAGTACGATGGATGGAGTTCTTGTGAAGCCGAAATAGCAATAGGGGATCCTTGTGCAATAGGCTCGGTGTTTCTCTTTCATCTCTGCCTTCATGCCCTTAGAACGAGTAGACGAGTCAAACGGGGACACGCCTCATGCAGTGATGAGTATGAGAGAGGTACGGATGTCACGGGTTAGGCGTGTTTAGGCTATGTCCCCTCGTAGGGAGTTGAGGCTCGTATTTTCTGACCACCTTTCACCCAAAAGGTACATTTAACAAACGCATTTTGCTGTGGAAGCCGTTAGACATTGGACAGTTCCACTTTGGGATTTGTATTATTTTGTCATATCAAGGAAAAACTGGCAGTAGCATAGGATTTCGGTAGAAGTAGGTGACGCTCGCACCCAACTCCAAGTCAACGCCCAGTCATGTTGTAAACAAGGCTAGGATATTCAAATCCCGTAAAATAAGTGCACTCTATCCGTTGCTATGACAACTGTAGGCATATAGTGAGTAGACTTGGCCGCTTAACAGACTGCGGCAGAAAGTGTTCTGATTTTCTTAGAACTCTGATTATGAGGGTGTGCAAAAACAAAGGCAGAACCTGGAGTTCTTTATAGAATCCTGTAATACGTTGGTTGTTTGTTTAACGGTCGGTTTTGGTAAAGAGACACTTTGTCTTGGCCATTGTACCTCGCCGGGTGGGCTAGCCTCCGGGCAAAGCCAGTAG